AAAGTCCTTACCTTAATTACATCTGCACAGACTCTTGTTCTAAAGACGGTAACATTCACAGGTTCCAGGGATTAGGACGTGGACATATCCTTTGGGGAACCACCATTCAACCCACGACACAAGGTTATGATCCTAACTAAATCACCAAAGAACAGATCTCTGGAGGGATTCAAAGAGGCCATTATAAAACACCAGCATTTAGCTTCTGATTTTCAAAAGGAAGAATGGGGGGGGGGAAATCTGCTTGTAACCTTTCCCCACATAATCTCTGGTACTCTCTCGGTGGCCAGTCGGTGGGACCAGATGATTTCAAATGGGTATTAGCTGAACGAGTCAATGATGTCCCTCTGCTATGTATGTACAGACCCAGAGCGGCCTTCTACCCAGATCAGAGAAGTCACTGGGTCTTGCAGCGTCCAGTGACCACCTTCCTTCAAAGTCCTGGGGCCCTAGAGAAGAGTCCAATCCAAAGACCACAGGAACATGTCAGACATATTCCAACCCTGGGCCCTTTCTATTCCCTTTTGGGAGCAGGGGCATGTAACACTGTAATCCGGCTCCAGCTGGTGCCTCCCAGAAGCGCTCCTCCTGGGAGAAAGTTGTCTTCTCCTGCCATAAACAGACCAGGCTCCCTGGAATGTGTGAAGTCCCCCCTAGTTGCCTCTTGCAAAAGGCTGGCACACATACATTCAAACCCTCAGTGACACTCAGGAGTATGCAGTCCTTCCTGTCTTGATCTGTTGATTCCCACGTTCATCCACCAACTGAACAAACTCCCTGAGCAAACTCGAGAGCCCAGGCCTGCACCGGCTGCTGGGCACAAAGGGACAAATATGTCACAGTCACGGAAAATCCCAAGAGGGCCCCTATCTCCAGGTACTAGAGGTCAACAACGAAATTACAAAGCATTGCCGAGGAAGAAATCAAAGCCAATGGGGGACCCAAAGGAGGAGGTGAGTGGGATTTTTGCAGACACTTAATCCCCACATGGGACGGTTATTATCACCATTTTACATTTATGGGGAAGTGAAGGATTCAAGAATCAGTGACTAACCTACAGAAGAGAGAGGAAGGGAGAATTGGTAGGAGCCCGAGGGATAAGGCACGGAGAACACAAACGTGGGGAAGGCCAGTCTCGCTTCCTAATATTTTTCCTGGGACACTTGGGATTTTTTGTTTGTTTGTTTCCTCCACCTTCCATTCCTCCAGGGAATCATTATCAAGGGAAATCCTCCTTTCTTCACTGTCTTCTCTAGAGAATCTTGGCCCAGGAGAAAGGAAATGGAAAATGGCTTTGGGCCATCTTATTTGTGAGCTGGAAGGTTGACATCCCAGCAGGAGTTGTCTTAGCCTCCCTAATTGGGATTGGAGTCATGCAACCCTGCCTGGCCTCTCAAGTTGATTATAGGCCACTTCCTCCGAGTTGACCGGCCTATTTTAATTCTGTGTTAGGAAATCTCCCTCATTAACATTCGCCTCTCTGTTTGAGGGTCACAGAAATTGTCAGGTTAGCAAAGTTTATCCCTGGAACTTTCTCATCTTTCTTTTCATTCCCACAGAATATCCCTAGGGACCGTCTTCCCGCTCCTCGCATTACCCACAATGGGTAATCTGATCTCAGGGGCCGGAGGAGGTAATAAACTTGTATGTTACTTGTACTAGGAGGTACAAAGAAAATGTGATGTAATGAGAAATACTGGTTCTTGGAGTGAGGAGACCCAGATCATAGGACTAGACTTCTAGGCAAGAAGGTGAGAGATTCCCTTAGCTGGGTGGGGTTCACAGCAGCCAATCTACCTGCTCTTTTCACAATCCACCCATGAGGCTTTGCCTCACTAATGTCCAAATCAAGTCTTCCCAGGACTCTTGCTGTCCTGCAACACAGACAGGCTGGCTGGTCATCAAATCCTGTTCCCTTTTCCTGGGCACTTGGCTGAATCACATCTCCCCGCTGCATCGAAGTGGGAGCATGGGCTCAGACAGAGGTATTGGGTGTGGTTCCTAAAATGTCCACATAATCCTCCACGCTCCCCCTCTGTTCTTTGGGCAGCTGGATGTTGACAATTTAGAAGAGGTCTCCAGGATCCTGGAGAATTCCCAGGCTCTGGGAAAAAGTGGAGCCACGCATTGGAAGGAGCCTGAATCCCTGAGTTGCCTCTTGGAGACCTGTCCATGAGAGCTGCCAACCAGGTACATTCACACTGGATGTTGAGTAAATGAGAATTAAAGTTTCATTGCGCTAAGCCACTGACATTTGGGGGTAGTTTAGTACAGCTCTTAACCTACCGCAACTAATCTCTGCCCCACTCAGGGAGTTTTCCACCCTAGTGTGTCTTCCAACTTTGTCCAATATCCTGTTTCCCAGCTTATTTCCTCTCCTAAAAAACATAAAAAGAAACAAAAGAATATCTCTTAGGAGCAGAAGCAAACACAGCTGCAAAGCAAACAGCCACTCCAAGGGTCCACAGAGCAGTGGGCTGCTTGCCAGGCGCTGAGTAGGATATCATTCTATTGGCGCCCATCCCCAACCTCTTCCATCTCCACTGTGATGGGAGATATAATCACTAACCTCCAACTCCATTAATTTTAAGCAAAAATTAGCATAAATAATCAAATCATAACTGACCTCAAGTCCCCTGCAGCTTCAGTTGACAGAGGGATGGGGCTGAGAGGATAAATTACAAGTATCTCCCTTCCTACAAACAACATCCTTTCCCCACATACTCCCTGACTCAGGACCACCGAGAGGTGCCAGTCCTAAGCACCAAACCCTGCTGTCTTGAGGATGAGAGAAGGTAGACCCGAGCCCTGACCACAGGATGTAACTGGACTGAATGACACAATTAGGGGCATCAGGAAGGCTGAGGTTGTGAGTCAGTCGGGATTATGGGTCTGGTGGTAGCCAGGGGTAGGGTCAAGCCATAGTAAGCTCAAAGATCAGGCTAGGACAAGAGACCCATTTGCAGCTGAAGAATAGAATGGATGTCCATGTTCTTCATAGGGGACTGATCTGGCAAGTGGCAGCTTTAACCGTGTCCTCCAATGGCATGCATGATTTTATACTCTTTCAGATTCCACTGCTATTCAGAGGTGGGGAGGTAATGGGAAAGAGTTCCTCTGGATTTGGATTTTCTTTGAAGCTTAAATTGAAGAGAGTCTCCAGGACTCAGATATCAAAGCCAGAGAAAACTTCAGTCCATAGCAATGGGACAGCTCTCCTCCTAACGCTTAGCGACCCTTTCTGCCATTTGAACGTGAGCCTCAGGAGGGGCTTTGCTTTATTCAACATCCTATCCCCAGTGCCCGGAACAGTTGCCGGCGTATAGCTGGTGTTTTATTTGTGTTGAATGAACAAATAAAGGTTGGTGGGGTGGGAGGGAACTGGGGGCCGCTGGTCCCCAACAACAGAATACCCATCAGGAACGCCTTCTCCATCAGCATTCTGCCCCATTCAGCATTCTGACTCAGCAAGTGACAACCGCCTGCACCATCTTCACAAGAGGGGAGAAGGTCCAGATCTCCTCAAACCCCTCATGACCTCTCACGGGAGCTGAAGTCCAGGTTTATCAGCCTAGGGGTTAACCTCTCTCTTGTGGAATGAAATTCTCCTTTTTCATTATGCTCGCTCTAAAGGGGTCTCATAAAGGAGCGGAGAGAAACACAGGTGCTAGGGATTCATCTTAAATCAGGTCTCACCACTGGATCACAAAGAACCTAAAGACCCGCAGGGTCACCATGGCCCCCCTGACTTTCATGCCTACTCTTCTATAGTAAATTTTCAAAGACCCAAGTAAAAGATGGAAGACGTAATGGGGAAACTGAGGGTCTTGGAAGAGCTGTTTCTAAGCCAGGACTCTAAGAGCTTTAGCTTCCTGGGGGGGGGGGGGGTAACCCATCTCAACATTTGCACCATTTTCTGCTTTTTCTCCAAAGCACCTTCTCATCTAGGTCTCTCCAACATCCTGCCCTCAGTCATCCACAGCCAGTGGGCACCAAGGCCCTGAGTTCTCCACCTCTTCCTAGACACCTCTCCAAATGGACCCTCACCTCCCCACCCTCCCCGCACAGCCCAGGCCTTCTTCATCTTGCCCCTACAGGGTGCTATTATCTTCCCTGCAATTCCCTTCCCCTGCCACCTAACTTGTCCAGCATGACACACTGGTTAGTAATTTTAGGTCTTTCTGTCTCTCCCTACCCAGTCCTGCTAGTTAGCAAGAGGCTCCTCAAATCCAACCCTCCACCTGTGTCCCTGGTTCAAAGCATCTCCACACACACCCTGCCCTCTGTCCTCCCTGTCCCAATCCTGCCCTGCCAAGTCCTAAAAACAGTCCTAAAAACAGCAGCCAACAAACCCAGGCACTGCTCTCGAGAGGTAACAACATACTAACTAATTTAATGTTCACATCATTAAATAGACACTACTCTTACACTCCTTTTACAGATGAAGAACTGAGACACAAAGAAGTCAAAGAGCTCATATGGTACACAGCCAGATGTGGAGCCAGCCAGTCTGCCAACCCCCCACTCTTTAACCATCGGGCCAAGTGCCCTTTCCCACCCTCCAGCACTTAAACTCTCCCTCCCCAGAACGCCACTTATTTAGTGTAACAAGGAAGTTTTATTCCGACATCTGACATGGAGGCGAGTAACAATGCAGAAGTTGGTATATGCAAACCGATGGGTGGTGGGCAGGGTCCAAGAGCCATAACCAAATAGTCTCTTGTTCCTTTTCCATCACAGACCAGCGCTGGCATCTGGTCCCTCCCGGGGCTCTCCCCACTCCACCGCACCGGACAGAGGTGTTTGAGACCCTCGCCTGGCCAGTGGCTGGAGAGGAGTGAGGAGGTGCGGCAGATCCCTCCAGGCAGTCCCAGGAGGCGACGGCCGCCGTATTGCGCGCTCCGGTCCGCAGTCCGCAGATCCCGGGTGCTTGCTGCTCTCTGGCGGCCGGAGCCGGGAGCCCGGGAGCCCCGGGACCCGGGAATCGCGCCGTCCCGTTCCGCGCGCCCAAGGGCACCAGCGAGTGACCGAGAGGCTGGGGAAAAGGGCGGGAGGAAGGGGGCCGCGGCGGAGGGGAAAAGGGGAAGAGGCCCGGGAGCGGCGCGGGAAGGGGCGAGGAGCTGACGGCGAGGAGAGAGGGCGTTCGTGGGCGCCCGCGGCGGGGCAGGGGTGGCTGCCGCGGGGTCGGAGCGGGTGCCAGCGCCGCGACCCCTCCGGACCCCGGAATTGCCGCTCGCCCGGCTCGCGCTGGCCCCTTCTCCGGGCGCGTGGGGCGCCCCCTCCCTCGGCGCCGGCCGCCCCCTCCTCCTCCCCGGCGCTGCCCCTCCTCCGTCCCGCCCCCCGCGCCCGGTCGAGAGCGCCGCAGTGGCTTTGCCTGCACTGCCCGGCCGGCTCGCCTGGGCACGCTCAGAGCGGCGCGCGTCGCCGGCCCCGGTTCTCCGGCCGCCTCCGCAGCCAGCCTCGGGAGCCCCGGCCGCCGCCCCCCGGCCCCGCTCCTCTCGCGGACCGCCGCGCCCCGCGCTACAGGAATTCGGGCAGGACCCCGACGGGACCCGCGCGCCGCGCTGCAGCCGGAGCCCCGCGGCTATGCCCGGGGCCCCTCTCCTGGCCAGTCGCCCGTCCTGCGCCCGGGCCCGGCCCCCGACGGCCGCGCGTTGAGATGACTTTCCGCGACCTCCTGAGCGTCAGTTTCGAGGGACCCCGCCCTGACAGCAGCGCGGGGGGCTCTAGCGCGGGCGGCGGTGGGGGCGGCGCGGGCGGCGCGGCCGCCTCGGAGGGCCCGGCAGTGGGCGGCGTGCCGGGAGCCGCGGGCGGCGGCGGCGGCGGCGTGGTGGGCGCGGGCGGCGGCGAGGACAACCGGAGCTCCGCCGGGGAGCCGGGGGCCGCGGGCGCGGGCGGCGAGGTGAACGGCACGGCGGCCGTCGGGGGGCTGGTGGTGAGCGCGCAGGGCGTGGGCGTGGGCGTCTTCCTGGCCGCCTTCATCCTCACCGCGGTGGCGGGCAACCTGCTGGTGATCCTCTCCGTGGCCTGCAACCGCCACTTGCAGACGGTCACCAACTATTTTATTGTGAACCTGGCCGTGGCCGACCTGCTGCTGAGCGCCACGGTGCTGCCCTTTTCGGCCACCATGGAGGTTCTGGGCTTCTGGGCCTTCGGCCGGGCCTTCTGCGACGTGTGGGCCGCTGTGGACGTGCTGTGCTGCACGGCCTCCATCCTCAGCCTCTGCACCATCTCGGTGGACCGCTACGTGGGCGTGCGCCACTCGCTCAAATACCCCGCGATCATGACCGAGCGCAAGGCGGCCGCCATCCTGGCACTGCTCTGGGCCGTAGCCTTCGTGGTGTCCGTGGGGCCGCTGCTGGGCTGGAAGGAGCCCGTGCCCCCTGACGAGCGCTTCTGCGGCATCACGGAGGAGGCAGGCTACGCCGTCTTCTCCTCGGTGTGCTCCTTCTACCTGCCCATGGCCGTCATCGTGGTCATGTACTGCCGCGTGTACGTGGTAGCGCGAAGCACCACGCGCAGCCTCGAGGCGGGCGTCAAGCGGGAGCGCGGCAAGGCCTCGGAGGTGGTGCTGCGCATCCACTGTCGCGGAGCCAGCACGGGCGCCACCGACGGGGCGCCCGGGATGCGCAGCGCCAAGGGCCACACCTTCCGCAGCTCCCTGTCCGTGCGCCTGCTCAAGTTCTCCCGCGAGAAGAAGGCGGCCAAGACGCTGGCCATCGTCGTGGGCGTCTTCGTGCTCTGCTGGTTCCCCTTCTTCTTCGTCCTGCCGCTTGGTGAGTGACCCGTCTCCCACCAGCCCCTTCCTTTCCTCCTTGAGCCTGTGGCTGTGCCTTCCGGGCACCCAGACTTGGATGGCCTTCCCAGGCAGAAGGTGACTCTCCACCTGGGCATAGAAGGTTGACTTAGTAACCTCCCTGGTCTCTTAGGCAGGTGCACTTTGTGGTCGACAAATGAGAGGCCCCTCGTGCTTGCAGGATTCATTTTGCAGGCTTCTGACTTCTGTCCTTACCCCCTCTGAATGGCCATGACAAGTCCCGGGCTTGTTTTAACACTCCCGAACCCCTAAGTATAAGAGATCTGCGGCATCTGTGCGGGCGTCTGCCCCATAGTATGTGGTCAGCAGTGTATATGTTCCTCTAAATACTGCACCACAACACACACACACACACACACACACACAGATACAAATTTCAGCTCCCAGAGGTGGGTGCACAGTGGGTGGGCCTCCATTCATGTGCAGGTGCAGCATGTACATGAGCAAGGACTAGAAGCCACCTGCTTTCTCCAGGAACTCATTCAGTTTCAGATGGCTAGGAGACCCTCCCCACCTGGTATCTGTGAATGCGCTGGGCTCTCGCTTCTGAAGTCTCCTCTTGGAGGTGGAGGGGGCGGGGGGGGGGGGGGCGGGGAGGGCCTGTGTGGGATGAGAGGGAAGGGGATAGGAACAAATTATCAAAGGGAAAGTTAATATCGTTCATCATTATTTCTGACATTGACTGAGTCCTTTAGTTCTTTAGAGAACCTTCCTGTTTCTTTCAGCAGCCTCCCTGCAGTCCTGTTCTCAGGGGCTTAGTCCCACCCCCTGAAGGCCCCTCCTGGAAGCCTTGGGGCCGGGTCAGCACAGGGAGGAGAAGGGGAGCATCATCTCTGGGGATGCATTTGCCCTGAGTCATTTTGCCCATGGCTGCAACTTCAGCCGGCCCAAGGCAGGCCTCCCTTGCCTTTCCCAGGCCTCGCTCCTGCCACACTCTGCCACGGGGTCAGGAAGGGGACAACGGCTTCCCTCCGGCTCCCCTGCAGTCCCTCACCACACAGAGGCCATGGTGAACTTTATGTATTATAAATTAGGGTGTCACTCTCTGCTAAGACCACTCCATGCTTTCCAGCTGCCCTGGGAACAAAATCCAGACTCTCCACCGTGGCCTGTGAAAGGGTGACCTTCAAATTTATTATTGTCCAAGCCGAAATGAGACGTTATGAATATTTATGCTGGGATCACAGGCACAAAGCGGGACAGTGGGGGCAGAGGGGGCAAACCCGGACATGCGGTCCCCGTCCTGGAAGGAGGGCCCTGAGTGATGGCCTCGCGGCTTGGCTGCCCTGCCCCTTGCTCACTGCATCCTTTGGCTCCTCTGACCCTCTTCCAGTTCCTTGCCCAAGCTGAGCTCCTGCCCTTGCACTTGCTCTTCCCCTTCTCTCACCTGCCCTCCCCACCCCCTCCTGGCTAACTTTCGGTCTCCATTTAAATGTCCCCTCTTCAGAGAGGTCTTCCCAGATGCCTCAGCCTCTCTGTGTCCTTCTCTGTACTCTCTCCCTTGGGGAACAAGGTTCTCTTCCTTTCCTGTCTCCTTAGCTGACATCTAATGACATCTGCATGCTGCTTGGTTGGTGTTGACTTCCCCGCACCGGCCCGAAGCTCTTCAAGGGCAGGGCCGTGTCGTTACCAAATGCACAGCGCCCAGCGCGGTGCCCGGCATGTGGACAACGATGCGGCCCAGCAACAAGGACCACAGGCTCTGGCACCAGACAGCCTGGGGTCAAATCCCAGCTCCGCCCCTGATGGGCTCTGGAACTTCAGGCAAGTCCCTGAACGGCGCTGTGCCTCTGTGTCCTCATCTAGAAAATCGGGGCGGTGGTAATGGTACCAGTGCGCATCTGCAGGGCCGTCGTGAGGGTTCACTGAGCTCTTACGTGTAGATCGAACCACTGTCACGCGCGCCCTGTGAGCTTTTGCTTTTGTAGTAGCTGCTCCCTGAGTAAATCACTGACTTGAAAATCAGCCAGCCAGAGGTATTGTGGGGGTACAGGGAGGCATGGACACTAAGCAACATACTGGGGGGGGCAAGTAGGCAGGCAGGAGAAAGTCAGTGTGGCCCCGCCTTTAGAGACCTGCCCCAGATTTAGTACCTTCCCCACCAAGCTCCCCACCCAGGCTCCTTTCTTCCACCAACCAACCCCTGCCCTGTCCCTGCCCAGACGTACCCCATCCCGGGTGCCCTCATTCCCCCCTGCGCCTCACTTCACACTGCCCACCCACCCCCCATAGGGAATGATCAAGCTGTGTACAGAATGCCACCTCCCATTATGTTCTTTTAACTTCTTTTAAAATTTCAAGTTACAGAATGATGCACAGATAAGGAGAGAATGATATACTGAGTGTCCTGTACCAATAATCACCCATACGGAACAGAGGTTAACATTTTGCCATATTCACCTCAGATCCCTTTCTCTGTTTCTCTCTTCAAAGAAATAGAACACAGCCAAAAGTAAGTTCCCTCCTGCGGTCCCTTCCTCCTTTTCTCCCTCCCTCCCCAGAGCTAAATCTGGAGTCCGTCAATCTTACCATTCATATGTTTATACGCTTACCACAAACATCTGTATCCATAGTAATATAGAGTATTGTCTTGTGTGCCTTTAGGATTTATATAAAAGGCATTTTGCATGCACATCATTCTTCAGTTTGTCTTTTCCATGCAGTGTTACGTCGCTGAGATTTACTCGTGCTAGTTCATCGTAGCAGCAGTATGGAATTCCGTTTGAGAGTATTCCACTTTGTGTTGATGCGGTCTTGTGCTGAACATTTGATTTTTCATATTTTCACTGTTAACAGTCAACACTGCAAAGGGCTACTGTTTTCAGTTTTTGGTTTTTTGTTTTGTTGAGGTTTAGAACCACGTGCTCCTCTTCCAGGAAGTCATCCCTAAGTTGCCACGGCCTTTGGCTCTTTTTCAATCCCTCCATCTCTGCTGCTTCTCACACTTGGCGTGGGGCCCCCGGCGTGTCCTTGTCTCCTCCTTCCTACCAGTCTGGGCTGTGCCCAGCCTCCTGAGCCCCAGAGTAGAGCCCAGGGCCGCTGGTGGAGCCGAGTTGAGTGGAATCTGGCAATAGTGAGCAAGCAGGACGGAGGCCAAGCAGGGAAACAGAATATTCTGATCTGCCTCTGCCATGGTATGGCTTGAAGGGCAGGGCCTTCAGTGGGGGCAGGAGTGGCTTAACGGCTGTGCAGAAGGGAGAAGGGGCCAGGAGGTCCTGACAGCACCCAGCACTGGGCCCAGGCCTGCGAGAAGGGAGGTTCCTTTGAAGGACCAGGGACAATTCTGAGCAGCAACTTTGGGGAGGAATGTGGAATCCAAGGGGCTGGCATATCTTGGTATGGAAGTGCCAGCATATGGTCGGCGGGGGAGGATGTTGGGGACTTAGGTAAAGGGGACCAAGAAGGAACATGGGGTATAGCCTCCCAGAAAGAGGATGGAGGGACAAAGAGAAGAGCGGGGCTGGGGATAGAGCTTCGGGGAGTACCCACTTTGAAGGAACCAGAAGGAGGCAGAGAAGGGGTCCGCCAGGGGGAGTGGCATCTCCCTCCTCCCAGGCCCTGGTCCCCAGGCCAGGTGTGAGGAGCACCAGAGGTGGAGGGATTGAGCAAGAGCATCGTGTGCCAGCCAGGGCCATAGCCCATGGAAATGAAAGCACCTAGTAGGGCCACAGCCCAGGGGTTGTCGAACAGACCCAGGGTGCCCCTCACCCACTTGTCCGCACTCAAAACAGTAGAAGCACAGGCCACAGCCACAGTCTGTCTGTCACCTGTCTGACCCCAAGATGCCAGGCAGCAAGGCCAGGAAGGGAGGTACTGGCTCCTTCCGGGGCACCCGGGGAGCTGTGTATGGACACATGATGCGTCACTGGCCCTCATGAGGGGGTCCCCACCTGTTTGTGCCTTCCCTGCTGATGCCGTGCCGTCCGCTCCACAGAGTGCCCACGCAGCCTAGTTTGCCCAGGACAGCCCCGGTTATGCCCGTCGACCAGCGTGATTACTAGCAGTGCTCCCCTTTCACTCTCAAAGGTGTTCCAGGCTGAAGGACAGAATATAGGGTCACCAATCCTTGGGGCCTTTGGAGGAGGGGCCCCCTGCTCTCACCTCCGCAAGCTGGCGTGGAACTGGGTGCCTTAGAAAATCACAGGACATTGTGAAAGGTCCCTCCTGACGTCTAAAGGAACCCAAACTTACAGAATGCATGTGGAGAGCAGTTCGCGCCTGCACACTTTCAGGGGCGGGGGGGGGGTGGGCAGGGTAGGGGTGGGGTGGGCGGGAAGTGCCCCTGATGAAAGCCTCCACCCCAGGGCACTTCGTGCAGGAGGCCTCTCATCCCCAGAGGTCTGGGCCCGCCTTTTGGGGTAGAAATCCCTGTGAGCAAGAGGGGAACAGAGGAACTGGGGAGACCTTGCCCCAGCAAGCACCCATCCGCACAAGAGCTCCCTTCCTCTCCCAGGAGCCCCCAGACGTTCCCTTGTTGTTCTCATGGTAGCGGCGCTTCACGGCATCTGGCTTTGGTCTGCCTGGCAGGGGCCCCCTTAGCCATCCCCAGAGGTGGACCTGTCCCCTGGGACCTACACACACACACACACACACACACACACACACACACGCGGCAGCCCCACCCCCTATTATTCCCAGCCACCACAGACAGGCCCCTGTGCTGCCCTCCAGGCTCCCTTCTTTTGGACAGGTCACTGAGCCTCTCTGGCCTCTGAGTTGGCCTCTGACTGTGCTCGGTCATGCAAAGCAGCCTCAGAGGCTCAGAGCCCACAGTGCCCTCCCAAATACGCGTCAAGGTGCACAAGGTGTCTGCAGGCTCAGCTATGAGAAGTCCCAGGACAGTCCAGCCACTGTCCCAGGCCCCCTCCTCCCGCCGTCTGTGAGCCACGCCCAGGCCTCCCTCCCGGACTGTCAGGCTTGGCCCTGTGATATCGCTGCCCCGCCTGGCCCCCCTGGATT